AATTAAAACAGCATCGTTATACAGTTTCTACATTTTTTCAACAATGTATTGATGCATAGAAATACACTGCATGTTGTGTACTTTCGTAGTCACCAAAAACCGGCTCGTCTAAACGTCTGTCGTTACCATGCTCATATCGAAACTTAGTTAACCTGTTTGTGGTGTTTAGCTAAGAGTCATCTAACGCTGTAATTCGCCTCAAGTAGACAAAGTTTGTGGACTGTTGTTGACCTTTTTGTATCGGTACTCTATAGTCGATAATTTTGAAGAATTTGACGATAAAATTGAACTACTTTGTCACAGTTTGGTTTTGCCTGATCGATATTAACATAGTAGTGGTTTTATCTTGTTACTTCTAACCGCGGTATGAGGATTAGGGGCCTTATGAATCGTTAGGGTGCTAGAGGCCGCTGCTTGATCTCTTAATACTAAGCTGAAAAATGCACAATGAAGAAATACAATTAATGTAAATCTAAATTAATCTAAAAATCGGTGTCAGAAACTTAATTATTGTTAGCTCATTCAATTGTAGCTGTGGTGTCAATGAATGCGATTAACTGGACTATCTCGACTTAGTCCCTAAAATTTTACCAATTCTGTTGTTTGTCTTTACTGCAAATCTTCCAATACTTTGTATACTTGTGAAAAAGTATCCCACTAGTTCTCCGCGTTCCTGTGTGACTTAGAACCTTGTGGAAATGAGAGGGAAGAAGTTATTTCAATCACTGTGTTGTTAACATGTGTAAAAATAATAGTAGAAGTTTTCATCATTACTGATATTTCTGCAGTCATAGTATTTGATTGTTTATTGTTTAATTGGTTTTTGTTGCGTTATTACTAATATTTAAGTTCTAAATTACAAAATGATGAGGTACTTTTGCCTCAAATGCAGTTTTGGACATACAGGATTTCTAGAAATGATTATAGGCTCGAAGCAGGTCATGGATGCGTGCCGCCTATCACTTTATGCGAATTTTACTAAATGCCCAAGGATTCTCGACAGATACTGTTTTATATATTAATCAAGTTACAATGTTAAAAAAACAAAGATATTATTATTATTATGTTTTAGAATAATTTTCAATTATGATGTTTCAATGAAATAAAGAATAATACAAAAAATATCTAAACTGTTAAATCCACACCAGTTTTTGGCGACCGCTGATTAAAAAAAACATGGCGGAAGATCTATCAGCTTTAGTAACGGCCCTTAGCAGATAGGTTTCTACATTACAAAAACAATGAACATCGATTGCAAGTGTACAAGAAGTTTTGCAGACCCAGGCTATAACTTTCGATGGATTTTATTATTATTATTATTATTATTATTACTAATAAAATGCCTCAACAGAGTGAAAACTCCAATTATTAGGCAAGGAGCATTAAGATTATAACATAAAACAAAAAGAGAGAAGTGAAATTAGCAAGTTTAAATTATAACAAATAGAAATAAGGAAAAAACAAAAAGAACATAAATATGAAAATGATATTTTTAACCAAATCTAAATTTGATTTCTTGCAAACTACAGCAAAATATATCCAAATCAGCTTCAATATCACAATAGTTACGAAGCATTTGGTACAAAGGTGATGAAGCAAGCATGTTAGTTTTAGCCCTAGGTAAGTAAAGTACAGTGGTATAACGACTATTAACTCGCGGTATTCGATAGGATATCTGTTCTACTGTGTACTTACAGTCAATAAAATTGTGTATGAGTTTGTACAAAAATACCGTTAAATGCAAGGATCTTCTTTTTGCAAGGCTCTGAATGCCAAATCTATTTAATAATAAGTCTTGTGGAAAATTACGAACGGGATAGGAGCCGTCCAGCATGAATGTAACAAACTTCAGAAATCTTCTCTGAATTCTTTCCAGATTGGAACTGTGGATGTTATAAAAGGGCGACCATATGACAGATGCGGATTCTAGTTTACTACGAACAAATGCGAAGTAAATTATATTAATTGAAGATACTTTAGTGAAATCTTTGGTGTTACGTACAATGAAACCTAAGCACTTGTAAGCTGAGTTTATAATTTTAGCGATGTGATGTACAAATGACAATTTGCTATCAAAAGATACACCTAAGTCACTGACAACATCCGGTCTCTCTAAAGTAACATCATCAAGGCTGTAGGGATAAGTGATTTTTTTAATCCATCTTGTGAATGTCATGACATAGCATTTTTGTTTATTTAAATTCAGATTGTTTAATCGGCCCCAAGTCAGAATATTGTCTAAATCTCTCTGAAACAATTTACAATCTGCTTCAGTCCTAATTTCAGTATATATCTTAAGGTCATCTGCGTACATTAGATATTTCGAAGTTAGTACGTTCGTTATGTCATTGATGTACAGAACAAAAAGAAGCGGACCTAAAACCGATCCCTGCGGTACCCCGGAAAGCTGCTCAAATGTATTAGACCTGAAGCCCCGATATTCAACAAAGGATGATCTTTTTTCTAAATATGATTTTAGAAAATCAATTAAATTGTTTTGTCATAATTTGATGAAAGCGTTGAACATTTTGAGAGTTACAGTCAAAGCCTTGAATTTTTTTTTTCAAATTAAGAGGTTTGCATAAAAACGGCAAAGAAACTAATCATGCCCAAGTTATGGTATTAATAAATTGTTTGGGCAGCAAACATTACAAATTACTTGCAAGTTTGATCTGTCCAGAACTACCAGCTACAAAAACCTGCCAAGAATTAATGGATCTTCTAAGAAATCATCTTGCACCGAAAAAAAATGTCTTGGCTGAACAACATAAATTTTTTTCAAGGGTTCAACAACCAGGTGAATCAATTTCTACATTCGCTGCAGGATTGAAAGATTTAATTAAAGATTGTGAATTCAAAACGGAATGTAAAGAAAAAGAACCTCCTTGTTTAACTTGTTTGAAATCTGTGATCGACATGTTACTACGAGCTCAGTTTATCCGAGGACTACAAGATTCCAGCATTAGAGAACGAATTCTTCAATTAGTAAACGTCTCCTTTGTTAAAGCATTAGAAACAGCATTGGCAATCGAAGCTTCAAGAATTCAAAATCGAGAAGTTTATAACAACTCATCACATGCGTCAAATAATTTTCATAAAATTGGTTTTACTAAAGGACAACCAGCATCAAAATATAATCAAAATAGATCTTCACGTCAAAAATCTTCAAAAACAACAGGTCGAAGCATAAATTTACAAGAATTGGGTCTATTCGGATTGTGCTTACATTGTGGAAAAAAGAATCATCAAACTGACAACTGTCGTATCAAAGAAAAACTTCACTGTAATCTGTGACGAAAAAAACGGCACACTAATAAAGTATGTATTTCTACATTCTTCAAAATGGCAAATATTTCTGTACATTAGACGTCTTCAAAGCATATTTACATATTCCTTTTGATGATGAAAGTGCACGAATACAAACAATTTCAATTCATCGAGGTACCTATTTAACTAAACGACTCTTCTTTGGTGTCAAAACGGCTCCAAATGAATTTCATAAAGTTATTGATCAAATTGTTCACGATTTAGAAGATACCATAGCGTATTTTGATGATAGGTTCAAGGTTATTTTATCGAAGAATGTAAATTTCATTTAATTAAAGTTCTTGAACGATTACGTAAATATAATCTGCATCTGAATCGAGAAAAATGTCAATTTTTCAAGAAGAGAATTCAATATTTGGGTCATGTCGTTTCAGAAAAAGGACTCGAAAAATCTGAAGATAAAATGAAAGCGATCATAGAAGCACCAAGGCCGAACTCTTTAGAAGAACTTCAACGTTTTCTTGGAATGGTGATGTATTATACAAAATCTATTCCCACTGAATCCAGCATATTATATCCATTAAAACGTCTGTTAAGAAAAGACACAAATTTTAAATGGTCTATCGAATGTGAAACAGCGTTCAAACGGAAATAGCCAGTGAACGAGTTCTCATGTCTTTTACACCTGATTTAGACATAACACTTGCCACAGAAGCCAGCCCGTATGGACTTTCGGGTGTTTTGCCACATCTTTTTCCAGACGGATCTGAAAGACCAGTTGCTTTTGCATCCAGGTCGTTGACAAAAGCTGCACGTAGTTATAGTCAATTAGATAAAGAGGCAACAGCCATTTATTGGAGTTTCAAAAGATTGTTTCATTATATTTATGGAAGGAAATTTATTCTAATTGTGGATAATAAACCACTGAGTATTATTTTAAACCCTCAAAAGCAACTTCCAGCCTTATCTGCAACCATAATGTTAAGATATGCACAATTTTTATCCGGTTTCAATTATTCCATCGAATGTCGAAAATCAAGTGAACATGTAAATGTTGATTAGTTCTCCAGAAGTCCATTAAAATTATCACCAAAAGCAAAAGAAAAAACTGATGATGAATACGTGTTAAATACGATGTTAATTAATAAGATTAGTACGGAAACAGTCACAGTTCATGAAATTGAAAAAGAAACAAGAACAGATCCAGACTTATGTAAAATGAAGAAAAAAATTCTAAATGGAACCAAAAGAGATCTAGAATTTTCACTGCACGATGGAATAATGTTTAGAGGACATCGTGTGGTAATTCCAAAAAAATTACAACACATTATTCTACAAGAACTCCATTCAACACATCTAGGAATGGTTAAGTTTTCCGCCTTCTACAGAGTCCGGCCTAAACAGGTTTCACTGTATCTGAATAGGTCTCCGCCTTCCTGTCTGACTTAGAACCTTGTGGAAATGAAAGGGAAGAAGTTATTTCACTCATTTTGTTGTTAACATGTGTAAAAATCATGGCAGGGGTTTCCATTATTATTGATATCTTTGCACTTTAGACATAGCTGTGGACACACAGGGTTTCTATAAGTAATTATAGAGTCGAAGTAGGTCATGGATGTGTGCCGCCTATCACTTTATGCGAATGTTACTAAATGTCCCAGGATTCTCAACAAATACCAAACGCATATGTGTAACTGGTTGCCTAAATTCTTAATTTGCATAAGTACACGAACTCTGTCTAAAACTTTATTAAGTAGAGTAAAATTCCAAATAATAACAAAAAACTGTCTCATTTTAAACCTTGACATTTTTTCTTGGAATAAACTTCACTTTGATGTTATCTTTGCTTCTCAGAACAACATCGCCAATTAATTCAACAGTCTCTGGAGTGTCGACCGGTTCTAAAATAAATGCTGCAAGAATACCACATAATACAGCCTTAATTTCCAAAATTGCAAATTTTTGTCCAATGCAATTCCTTGGTCCGGCACTAAAAGGCACATATGCAAAATTATGTCGATTCTGACAGTTTTCCGGCAAAAACCGATCTGGATCAAATTTTTCGGGATTTGGGTAAATATCAGGGTTGTGATGGACGTCATAAATATGAAGCTGAACCATCGAACCAGTTTTTAAGATGTAGCCACTGTGCGTTTTTATATCTTCACCTAAGACTCGAGCAATGAGGGGTGCACTGGGGTACATTCGAAGAACTTCTTTAATGCACATTTCCATGTATTTAAGGTCTTGTAAGATCTGGTAATTAAGCTGAGAGGACTCAGGGACTACTTGCTGTATTTCTTCGTAAATCCTGTCCTGAAAATAGTAAAATGGGAGTACGTAAGCGTAAGCACATTATTAATTTTATACTTGTATATCGCGATGGCAAGCGATTAACATGAGAGCGTAAGAAATAGCCACAGACGTAGTGTCGTGTCCTTCGAACATAAAAGTGTCTACTTCTTCTCTAATACCGCCATCGTCAATGCATCCTTCTTGTTTTTTAGCAGCGAGAAGTAAGTCTAACATGGCTAGACGTTTGCGTTTAGAATAAGAAAAATCTACTTCATTTTGTGCTTTTATCGATCTAAAGTTCCTTTGTCTGTTTGAAATTACATTAGTAGTAAAAGTGTGCAAAGTTTGAATTAATTTTTTTTCCTTGAAATACTGCGGCACGAAAACGTAGAACAAATTATGCAACAACCACGGGTGACTTAACCTGTAAACATATATTTTTCCAATTTCATGAATAGCCGTTTTATAGTCTCTTCCGCTAACTTTTATGTTCTCTTCTTTAAAATTTGTTCCCATTGCAGTTTCTAAAAACCAACGTTGATTTGTTGTTAGTAGTAGGTACTTCAACAATTACCACCTATGGTGTCTAAAGTAAAATCAGATATGAAGTCGGTTATAGCAATGTAGGGCTTGTGGCATTCTTGCTTAAAAACGTCAACCAGATTTTTTGTTTCTGCTTCAAAAACCTTAATGAATTCTTGCAGGATGTTAAAATGAAAAGCTGGCGTTAATATTTTTCTTCTTTCTTGCCACTTACTTCCTTCACTCGTTAACAGTCCTGTACCTAACCAGTTATGAAACATGTGATAAAAGTATCCCTTCGTGTTGTGTTTCATATTAGACATAATAATCTAGAATTTATTGAAAAATTGTATTCTGTCTAAACCATTTTTGATATTCCTACCTCAAAATCATAAGGATTTACGATATTGACAGCTGACAAGTGAGCCACCCACGTATGATATATTGGATAGTAATCGCGCCCCCATTTTCTCAAAATTTTGAATATGTTTTCTAAACACGTTTACATGAATCCTGGGGAACCAAATTTTAGTACTTACCCGGGGTATCAAAAAGAGAAGACATATTTCCGACAAAAAAATTAGCTTGTGGTTCTGGTAATTTATGCATGTATATTGTGGCAAATATGAATCCTTTAAATTGGTCATAAATAATAAGAACAAAGAGCACTATAAACGCAACTACAAACAACCAAATCATTTTCGAAATCACTGTGTGAGACTTAGCACCAATTAATTTGTATTATTATTTTATAATTATCCTGATCTCTACTCATTTATGCGAGTCATCTATTTACAAGTACTTTCGACAGATAAATTTCTTGAAACTGTTGCGTCCGAATTATGTCACCACGATTCCATTATCGTCTGCGATTAAATTTATTTTTAAAATGAACGTGTTACATTGTTGCTAGATAATTATTATAAAATCAGTATTAGATGCAATAACTTAGTCGTCACTATGTACACGATATTAGTCTAAACTGAATAGATAAAAACAGCAAACTCTTAATTTAAGGTGTTTCTCAATATTATTTATGGGTTAATGTTTATCACAATTCGTGTCAATCGGCTGTATTATCGAGAATAATTCAGATGTTTTTTGTTGTGTAATTTGTAAACAAGATATTTAAATATTATTATAACACTCATATTTTCAAGGAAGATGATACTTATTAGAAGTTTTAAACCGAAAACGCTTTTATCTGTTCGCGCCAGACAATTTTTGCATAGGCAACGTATTGTACACCCCAGAGACGACTTCGTCCAATTTATTTATTTTTTTTTTGTTTTAATAACCAATCATAGCAATCACAGAAAAAAATGACAAAGATGTCGATGACAAATGATGACAAAATTGAAAAAATTTATACTCAGTAATAGATCAGATTACAAGGATGTATGGATGAAAATTGGTTTGCTTTTAAGATGTTGAAAGCCGAACCCAAAGTAATCTCCATTTGTCTTGCCATGTGTCTTTGACTCACGTGAGGATTTTCTGCTACAATTTCAATTGGAGCGGCTTCATTATCCGGCGTTGTTACAGTTCGATTTCTAACTTTATTTTTTTTTTAATTGTCCAAATTCTCGTACATTTTTTTCAAGTTTTCTAAACGCTTGTTTTGAGAGGGTTCTTCTATTGGGATTTTGCCTGGCATAGAGACGAACAGCAGCATCAAAATTTTTGTGACACTTAACAAACGAAAATTGAAAATATTTGACTGACAGAAATAATTTGTCTTAATTTTGGTTGTGATCATTGCTATCTATGCGTTCATTATTATTTAAAAATAAAAATTAATGAAAGCTGTTTATGAAACGCAAAATGGGTTGCCAATGCAGACATATTCAGGCGCGAACAGATAAACTGAACACAATGTATAACACATATACAATATACATATTTAATAATAAAATATGTACTGATCCAAACAACGACTCATATTCCTACTAAATATCTTGAAAATATAATTGCTACAGTTTCCTATGGGGCGTATCATCACAGATATTGTAAACATTGTAACGCTACAGAAATTTCTCTTTTGACAAAGTACTAACTCTTCTAAAAACCAATTCGGTTGCTAAGTCGAGTTGTGGTGTTTTATTGTTAATCATTGACAAGTTAACTTAGCAATTAACAGACGATAAAGCGTCACTTAACAGTGTCACGTTGTTGCCTTTGACAGTACACCTTTTTAACTATCAATGGACACTTCACCTGTATACTGTTTCCATCATTATTTAACTATTTGCCGTTGTTCGTTTAATTGTCTATGCTGCCAGCTAACAGTGCACCACATATAAATAGTTCAACGGTACAGACATTAGGATATTTACACTGTATATGACACTTATAACAGACATTTTGACATTTAAGCTAACAACGGCAAACAGCTGATAGTTAAACTATCAACGATTAACATTAAAACACAATATCTCGTTTCTTGCAATTCAGTTGATCCTCAGAAGATTTATATTTAAGTAACCTGGAAAACTTTATCGGTTTAGTCAGCCACAACAGAAATATTCAACCACTATTATTAGAAATATTTTTTGTACCTTTTTTTTAATATTTTAAATAACGTGTTATATTATTATTATTATTATTATATTATTTTTATTCCTTTATTGAAATAGTGTTTCAGTTACTTACAATAATTATTTCTGTTATAAGTACCTAAAACATACTTTTTCCGGACGAGACGAAGCATAGTCCGAAATAGCAAATGAGTCCCAAATAACATTTTTTTGTTAAAGCTCCCAAAAACACCTCAACAAATCTCTTAATACGACTAATGTGACTAAAGCAAATATTTTTCGAAAATACAAACACGAAAAAATGTGTCGGTCGTCTTTACATTTTGGGGAATCAATAGTTAATAATCATAACATTATTAATTTAAAATATACTTATTTAATTATTGCATTTAACGATTATGCTTTATTTACCTAAATGACCATTCGAGATCATCATCATGGTAACTTTTTGGGATTGAGTCCGAAAAAAACTCATTTTACGAACACTTTTGAGTCCGCTAAAACTTTTTGCGTACGAATTACTTAGATAATTTTTTGGTAAAATCTCTCCAAAACACAGAAAACCTCAATTTTTTAATTTTTAAAAATAGGTCGTCTAATCTAGATTACAGTTGTCATTGGGGTACCAAGGCAGTCACTTTGTTGATGAAAAAATCATCAGTTGTTATTGTAAAAAACGCATTTGTGCATACTTTATAATAATTAGTGATTACGCATTACAACAATGAGTGAAATAGTCCCAGAATCAATTTCCGAGAGAGCTCAAAAAATTACTTTGGATCTGAGGTCTCCCGTTTCCGTCTGTCTGTCCGTCTGTCCGTCTGTCTGCCGTCACGGATTTTTATTATACAGATAATCTCCGAAAGTACTGGGCCGATTGTTGGCAAATTTTGTATTTATGTATATTAGGAATATCATGTAGTTGTAGATGGTAAAACGCTAACCAAAATTTCTCTAATCATCCCCACCACTAATGCGATGACGTCACTTCAAATGCGTTTTAAATTGTATAAAATAATATAGTCCTAAACATGTAGTTTATGATTCCGAATAGAGTTTTACCCGAAACGTCCAGATTTTTGGAAAAAAATCAAAATTATAAAACAACATTTTGCAATTTAATTTTGAATCTGCTAAACCGAATGCTTTAAAATCTTGCAGATATTTTAAGCTTATAAAGAGCATAATAAATGTTTAGTCAAAATATATTTGCTTATCTCCCTCCAAAAAAATTCGTCAACTCGAAAGTTTGCTGTGTAAATCCTATTTAAAATGTACAAAATATGATGAGTCTGTACTTGTAATTCATCATTCCATTCATATTCTTTGGATTTAGATCTACAGGGTGACTCAAAAAAATTAATGAATGCGTAAATGTATTTCATTGATTTAATCAGGAACTACAAAACCGAATGCTTTGAAATCTTGGAGATATTTTAATGTTATTACAGGCATGGTAAATTTTTGATCAAAATATATTTGCTTATCCCCCCTAAAAAAAAGACGATGTCACCCGAAAATTTTGCTGAATACTTAAATCCTATCTAAAATGTACAAAATATGATAAGTCTGTACTTGTGACAATTTATCCATGCATATTTTCGCAAGTATGAGTCCTTTAATCTGTTCGTAATAAATTAGAACAAACAGTACTATAAACGCAACTGGAAAGAACCAAATCATATTCGAGATCACAGTGTGAGACTTTGTACCAATTAATCTGTATTATTAGTTACTATCATTATTCTGATCTCTGTTTATTTATGCCAGCCATCTGTTTACAAGTACTTTCGACAGACAAAGTTGTTGAAACTGTTGCGTCCAAATTATCTGACAGCGATTCCATTATCGTCTGCGATTATATTTATTTTTTAAATGAACGTGTAACTGGATAATTAGAAATTCAGTATTGCCAAATTTGTTATAAATTACACACAAAGAAGAAGAAATAGCTTAGTCGTCACATGTACATGATATTAGTCTAAACTGAATAAATAAATTAATACAATTTTAACTGGTTTTTGTTATGGGTTATAACTAACTATTACGTTAGTAATGATACGTACCACTAACGTTTAATTTCTAAACTACAAAGTGATGAGGTAGTTTTGCCTGAAATGCGGTTGTGGACATGTTACAATACTTGGACACACTTGATACGCCAGTAAGTTTGTAACTAAATTTAGGAGGAGCATAACTTCCTTCTTGAAAACTGGATAATTAACCTGCTGTCGTACATTTACAACACAGACTTTTTAAATATAGTTCTAAATGTCTAAATGCAGGAAATGGGTCTAAAACTTTATTAAGAAGAGCAAAATACTTCAGAACAACAAAAACTGTCTTATTTTAAATTAGTAGACAGTTTTTCTTGGAACAAACTTCACTTTGATGTTATCTTTACTCCTCAGAACAACATCGGTAATTAATTCAACAGTCTCTGGAGTGTCAACCGGTTCCAAAATAAATGCCGAAAGAATACCACACAATACAGTCTTGATTTCCAAAATTGCAAATTTTTGTCCAATGCAATTTCTTGGTCCAGCACTAAAAGGCACATATGCAAAGTTGTGTCGATTTTGACTATTTTCCGGCAAAAACCGATCTGGATCAAATGTCTTGGGATTTGGGTAAATGTCAGGATTGTAATGTACGTCATAGATATGAAGCTGGACCAAAGAACCAGTTTTTAAGATGTGACCACTGTGCGTTTTTATATCTTCTCCTAAGATTCGGGCAATGAAGGGCACACTGGGGTACATTCGTAGAACTTCTTTAATGCACATTTCCATATATTTAAGTTCTTGCAAGGTTTGGTAATCAAGCTGAGATGAATCAGTGACTACTTGCTGTATTTCCTCATAAATTCTGTCCTGAAAGTAGTAAAATTGAGAGTTGGTAAGCGTAAGCACATATTTAATTTTGTACTTGTATATCGCGATGGCAAGCGATTAACATGAGAGCGTAAGAAATAGCCACAGACGTGGTGTCGTGTCCTTCGAACATAAAAGTGTCTACTTCTTCTCTAATGCCGTCGTCGTCAATGCAGCCTTCTTGTTTTTTAGCAGTGAGAAGTAAGTCCAACATGGCTAGACGTTTGCGTTTAGAATAAGAAAAATCTACTTCACTTTCTGTTTTCGTCGTTCTAAAGTTCTTTTGTCTGTTTGAAATTACATTAGTAGTGAAAGTGTGTAAAGTTTTAACTAATTTTTTTTCCTTGAAATATTGCGGGACAAAAACATACAACAAATTATACAACAACCACGGGCGACTTAGCCTGTAAACATATAGTTTTCCAATTTCATGAATAGCCTTTTTATAGTCTCTCCCGCTAACTTTTATGTCCTCTTCTTTAAAGTTTGTTCCCATTGCAGTTTCTAAAAACAAACGTTCATTTACTGTTAGTAGTAGGTACTTGATCAATTACCGCCTATGGTGTCTAAAGTAAAATCAGAAATTAAGTCGGTTATAGCAACGTAGGGCTTATGGGATTCTTTCATTAGTACATCAACTAAATTTTTTGTTTCTGCTTCAAAAACTTTAATGAATTCTTTCAATATGTTAAAATGAAAAGCTGGCGTTAAAATTTTCCTTCTTTCTTGCCACTTGTTTCCTTCGCTGGTTAATAGTCCTGTACCTAACCAGTTATGAAACATGTGATAAAAGTATCCCTTCGTATTGTGTTTCATATTAGACATAATAATCTGGAATTTATTGAAAAATTGTATTCTGTCTAAATCATTTTTGATATTCCTACCTCAAAATCATAAGGATTTACGATATTGACAGCTGACATGTGGGCAACCCACGTATGATATATTGGATAATAATCGGTCCCCCATTTTCGCAAAATTTTGAATATGTTTTCTAAAAATCTTTACATGAATCCTGAGGAACGAAATTTTAGTACTTACCAGGTGTGTCAAGAAACGAAGAGATATTTCCGAAAAAAAAATTGGCTTTTGGTTCTGGTAATTTATGCATATATATTGTGGCAACTATGAAACCTTTAATATCTTCATAATAAATAAAAACAAACAGGACTATAAACGCAATTACAAACAACCCAATCATTGTCGCATTCACTGTGTGATACTTTGAACTGATTTGTTTGTACTATATTTTTTTTATCATTTTCCAGATCTTTGCTCATTTTTGCGAGTCACCTATTTACAAGTATTTTTCACAGATTAGATTGTTGCGTCCAAATTAGATCATCGTGGTTCCGTTATCGTCAGCGATTAAGTTTATATTTAAAAAAAAACATAGTACATTGATACTTCATAATAATTATAAATTTATTATTGCCCAATTTGTGGTAAACTACGCACATTTAAGATGTAAATAATCGCGTAATCTTCACTATTTAGATAATACTAGCCTAAACTGAACAGATAAAAATGACATAAACTCTTTTCCCAATTTTGTTTATTAGTTAATATTTATTAGTATTACAATTTGTGTCAGTCGGTTGTATTGGCCAAAATGATTTAGATGATTTCTTTACTGTGTAACTTAGTACCTAAAATATTAATTAACTGTTAAGTAGGTGACACTATAACTGTCTTTCGTTGACAGTTAACCGTTGATAGACAACGTTAATCATATATCAATGGATACTTCAACTGGCTGGGGGCGAGGAAACTACTGTCTAACTTTTTTAGACCGACTTTGCTTTAGCTATTTCAAGAAACAATGTAAAATTGGTTGATGCTGATTTATTGTTACTACAGTAAACGTTTACAGTGTAATTTTATTCAATTACATTCACGTATTTAGTATCAACTTGTAACTTGTAACTTCGATCCACGTTTCCCGTTCTTTGAAAGTTTCTGCAACTGAATGACACCCTCTCCCTTAAAAATTGCTCCTCGTCGTGGTTTATCGAGGCAATTATCGGGCGTCGCGGCGTCGTCGGTGGTCCGGTTGTGATAACGCGTCGTATTTCCACTTCCGTCCTTGGATGAGTTAAAGTGGCGAGAGCAGAGAGATAATAACCAGCGGAACCACCGCACCCAGGTACGGGCACAATGCTATCGTGCCATCGTTTTCCAGACGCATCTTTTACGTGGCCACGAAGAATACCTACGCCTGATGATGGCTCGGCTGCAACAAGGAAACGCGAGGAAATTAATATCGTAAATATAAAGTTAGTCCATAACTCACACGACTAGGAATTTTTCTGAAATATTGGGGCCACAAATTATCGTGAACACGTGGTTATGCCGTTTAGAAAACGGATTTATATCCGGATAATTTAGTTTGTATTTATGTACAGGTGAGCACGAATTATTAACGGTGGATTTATATGCGGCCAGATTTATTCCGCTGCTTTACTGCCGATGAACGGAGGGGAGGCCGGAAGACACGAACACGTGCTGCACTGTCCGCAGTCGTAAAGCGACTATTGTAAATTATTAATTTCAAGCAAGATAGGTAAGTTCTTCATTAAAAACCGCACTGAGCAAAAGCTACGACCGATGTATGCAGAAATTAAAAATATTTAACTTTTCTTAGATACTTCTGTGATTTGTAATCATTTTCAAAGTAGAAAGTTGAAATTTGGCTTATAGTTAGGGTTGCCACCCCTCTGGGTTCTCCCCGGAACCTCCGGTTTTCAGTGTAACGTCTCCGGCGAGACATTTAATTCTCCGGGTTTGCACTAACACCTCTATTAACCAACCAGTAAAATATTGTTACAAAATAAACCCATACGCCGCTCCGGTACGACGCCTATGTGTTTTCTAGTATGTGCGGCGATGATGAGTGATTCATCGTTGGTGACGGCGACCGGGCGGCGTTCGCTAAAGGAAAACCTGGAAGCGGAAGTCGCGATGGCTGTTCCAGAACTCTTGGCTCTTTAAATGGCAACCACCGTCGGGAGCGGTCAATGAAGTCCGTAGACAATTGTAGAAGTAGAGTCTAGTCAAATCCATTCCAGTCGGAATTATTGTGTACATAATTGCTGTATAGTTAGTCATGTAATTTTGCATTACTGTGAAATCAACAAACATAACAATATGTTCATACAAAATCAACTACAAGTGCTCCACGTTGCAGGTTGGGAGTGGATTCGTTAGCTACAAAATTCGCCCTGTTGTTGTCGGCTACAGGTCTAGCTTACCTAGCTCAATTTTTAGGGCGTTCAAGTACAAATAATAATTTTAGTTAGCGTTTAACAATCTACAAGATATTCCTAATATATGTACAAAATTTGACAATAATCGGTCCAGTAGTTTGGATACAAACACCAAACAGACAGACAGACAGACGGAAACGAGAGACCACTTTTTTGTACTCTAGAGGTTATAACACGTCGAGAAAATATGAATGTGGTAAGTAAAAAGTGGTGTCCCCTCGTTCCTATAATTTTATACAAGGCGTTTTTGAAACACATGTTAAAAAAAATGTGGGTGCTGATGAGTATACCTCAAAAAAAAAACAGAAAGTTCTAACAAACGTATTCTCGTTTTTGAGATAAAAATCATTGAAATGATAGTTCCTTAGTAGTAAAGCAACAGTTTTGTAGGTAACATTTTTGTTTTAATTGAAGGCTTGGTTGTCCGTCATAATTTTGACAAATAATGTTGCATCATTCCAAAGAAAATCTTCGATACATTGAATCTTAAAGTGACTCTTCGAAGTACAAACATTCAATTTCAAATATTTAAACCTCTGGGTTACATACGAATACCTGTTGCATATAAAAAGAAGGAGTTCATGGAAGATTTATTTGTCGTTTCTGATTATGGTACAGCCATTATGGGAAGAAAATGGATTCGAAACTTACAGATAATCTTCATGACTTTTATTCTATTTCTACTTGTCAACCATCAATGTCAGAAATTTTCAATCAATTCAGCGACGTTTTTCAACCAAAAGTTGGTGAAATTCCAAACTATCAATGCTCTTTATCTCTTCGAGCTAATGCACAACCAATTTTTATAAAGCCTCGCCGAGTTCCTTACGCTCTCCAAGAGAAAGTTGAACAGGAATTAGATGACTTAGAAAATCAGGGTATTATTAAGAAAACTGATCACTCCGAGTGGGGAACACCTTTGGTTATTGTGCGGAAGAAGAATGGTGACATTAGACTATGTGCTGATTACAAAGTAACTATCAACAACCAACTTCAAGATAATCGATATCCTATTCCTAGAATAGAAGATATTTTCAATAAAATGAAAAATGGTAAATATTTATGTACATTAGATGTCTTCAAAGCATATTTACATGTTCCTTTTGATGATGAAAGTGCACGAATACAAACAATTTCAACTCATCGAGGTACCTATTTAGCTAAACGTCTCTTCTTTGGTATCAAAACGGCTCCAAATGAATTGCATATAGTCATCGATCAAATTGTTCACGATTTAGGAGGTACCACAGCGTATTTTGATGATATAATGGTTTAAGGTTCTTCTATTGAAGAATGTAAACTTCGTGTAATTAAAGTTCTTGAACGATTACGTAATATAATCTGCATCTGAATCGAGAAAAATGTTAATTTTTCAAGAAGAGAATTCAATCTTTGGGTCATGTGATTTCAGAAAAAGGACTCGAAAAATCTGAAGATAAAATCAAAGCGATCACAGAAGCACCAAGGCCGAACTCTTTTCTTGGAATGTCTGTTAAAAAAAGACACAAATTTTAAACGGTCTATCGAATGTGAAACAGCGTTCAAAAAAGCCAAAGTTGAAATAGCCAGTGAATGAATTCTCATGTCTTTTACACTTGATTTAGACATAACATTTGCCACAGACGCCGGCTCGTATGGACTTTCAGGTGTTTTGTCACATCGTTTTCCAGACGGATCTGAAAGACCAGTTACTTTTGAATCCAGGTCGTTGACAAAAGCTGAACGTAGTTATAGTCAATTAGATAAAGAGGCGACAGCCATTTATTGGAATGTCAAAAGATTTTTTCATTATATTTATGGAAGGAAATTTATTCTAATTGTGGATAATAAACCACTGAGTATTATATTAAATCCTTAAAAACAACTTCCAGCCTTATCTGCTACCAGAATGTTAAGATATGCACAATTTTTATCCGGTTTCAATAATAATAATAATAATAAATTTATTACCCAACAGAAATTTTCCATTAACAGGGTAATTACAAGTTAATTAATGTTAAACTAAACTAAGAGTACTAAAAAATAAAATATTACTAAAATAATCAATTACAACCGCAGTTAATTAATGAATTTAGAAATTAAGTTAAATTCGACATACAGTGGGCGGGTGTGTAACAATATGGAAATAAATTAACATTCGCTCTTAAGCAATTGAATCAAAATAACCCCTGGCAAAATTAACAATGGAACCAAGGCTATCATTGTATAAATCACAATTTTGAGAGATTTTATTAAAGTTCTGACACATTACATTAATAGGTGATTTCATACCAAGATTGGTTCTGTAGTGTCTAAGTTTGAACATACTCTTGTCCCGTGTATAAAATGAAGGTACAAAGAACTGTACTATAAATAAAAGATATGGACAATCAATTCTATTACGACACAAATTAACTACAAAACATATGCTAGCTATTAACCTTCTACAGTGCAGTGACTGAATCCCGAAACGTTCCAGTAAATATTTTTGATTAGTACCACGACTGGGATAGGTATTATCAGTTCTAAAACATAATAATTTTAAAAACCTCCTTTGAACCTTTTCTAAGTTGATTTTTTGATATATGTAGTATGGGGACCAAATAAAGTTAGCATATTCTAATTTGGATCTAACTAACGAAAAATACAGGATTTTTAACACGGGCACACTATGGAAATCTCGGAAGTTACGTACTATAAAACCAAGAATTCTTAAAGCTGCATTAGTTATGTAACACAACTAATGTGTGATCAATGAATGACAATTTCTGATCAAAAATTACTCCAAGATCCTTAAATGTGGAACATCTGTGCAGTTGAACGGTGTTAACGCTATAATCAAAACTAATTTTATTCTCATTCCTAGTAAAGGAAATCACTTTACATTTTGCTAGATTTAATTTTAGATTATTGTTTTCACTCCATTTGAAAATTTGGTTAATGTCAGATTGAAGTTGTAGGCAGTCCTCCCTACTTGAC